TGGCAAGGTCAAGCGATGGGTTCAGCGCTGGGAAATTTGTCTTTCTGGGAAGTGCGCAGGCGCAGGAGCAGCCACAGCCACAGCCGATTCCTTCTCCGCTGTTGATCATATTTGACCTCCGTTGCAGGCTCTGCTTCTGCTTCTGTATCTAATTTAACCTTTCCTTGCAGTTCCGAGGGGGCCTTTGATGGGTATTCGGTGGGTAATGCAGAGGTTGTGGGTGATTATGTCCACAGTTTCCACAGTTGACGCAGGCCCTGCCTAAACCTCTGTATTGTTTTGTATAGTACCCCCTTCGTCAGTCACCTAAGCCTCTGATTCAGACGCTGCCCCCACCTCCCAATTGACATTGTGTGGGGCTCTTTCCCACTCTCCATCGCTCTCCCTTGATCATGGGCTTGTTCGATCATAAATTGTTGAAAAACAAATTGTTGTTGCCTTCGGTTGTTTGGAGTGTGGAAGGGGTTGAGTTGGGGGGTTACCAGCAGAGATGTGATTAATTCGATAAGTTGAACGATAAATATCGCTTGTCACTTAATGGATGCCATCCCGTAAATCGTTATCGTTCAGAGCTGTTCAGCAAGGAAGACTTATTAAAGAGAGCGATCATTAAGGTTTTTGTTTTTGCTTGCCTAATCTATTGGGCGATCAATCGATTGGCATTCCATGGCGTCATTAGATCACTACGTATCGATAACCTCAATAAGCTGGGGCTTGCGAGTGATTGATTCACTATACGATGAACCCCACAGATCGGAGGTGTTAATCAATTTTTGGCATTTTTGTTTTAAGTCCAGTCTGTTAGCGAGTGAATATATAAAATCTATAGCTATTACAGTTGATCTGGGGAAGAGCACAACATTCAACTTTGTACGTTAACCGTTTGGGGAGCAGATGAAATGGACATAAACTGTATAATGCAATGATCTGAGCTAATAGCACCGAACAGCTTGAAGAGATTCATTCACAGCATAGTCAAGGTCAAATTTACGAAATGCTCATCCCTGATGCTCAGACCCATTGGGGCATGCATACATACATACATACATACATACATACATACATACACATATGTAAGCCCATACGGATGGACCGTCGTAAAACCGTTTTGACGAAAGTCCAAGTCACTAAGCAAGTTGCGCAAGGCGGCGGAGACGAAGACGCGAAGAGACAGAGACCCCAGAGACAGGTCGGATCATCAGGTCAGGTCAGGGTTGGGCAACACAATACTCATATATGTATGTATGTGCATATGTGGCTGTGTTTTTATACGGGTGTTGTATAGCACATGGATGGCAATGACATGGCGACAATAAAAGTCTTAGCACGCCCATGAAGAAGAGCTTGGGCAAATAAGACTAAGGGAGAGGGAGAGGAGAGGAGAAGAAGGAAAAGGAAAAGAAGAGGGAGACGGGCAGCGGACAAGACTTTGGCATATTTAAACATAATTTCGTTTTTTATTATCCTTTCATGACAAAGGCCAAGCCGCTCCATAAACAAATACACAAACGAACACATACGTATGTGTGTATACATATGTATGTATGTACATACGCAGAACTCTTGGAGACAATGACAGTTAATAGCGGTCGCTAAGTGGAAGAGAGCAAGAGAGCCAGAGAGAGAGAGAGAGAGAGAGAGGCAATGAAGTGGTTGAGGATGGTGAGAAAAGGAACCGGTGTTTAGGGAAATACCGGGCATAGGTAAACATACATATGTATGTATGTAGGTACCTGTGTATGCATGTAAATGCTCTGGCAGGTAAATTATGAAAAACAAAACGAGAAGATGGAGAAGAAATATGAGAAAGAGCAGCACAGGGCTAAAGGGGGCAGCACAGGGAATATATGCAGAGACGGAGGAACATCAGATTGATCAACAGAGAATAGCAAGGGGGGCAGGACAGTCGAATCGGAAGAGGAAATGGAAATGGAAGAAGCAGCACAAGTACCAGAGAGGTATGCAAGGTGTTCAAATTTAAATACATATTAGCATGCCTTCGGAACACGAAAAGCGATCAATATGTACATACATAAAGAAGGTGAGGAAATCCCGATTGAATAGCTTTTATTTTACTCCCCCGCTCCATTTGTATTCTGCGTGAGAGCGCATTTAAATGCTTAGAACAGAATTCGGAAAGTGTTCTACACGCGCACGTGTATAACAGTGGCTGGCTGCACTAGAATGTTCAGTTTTGTTTTGCCTGCTGTTTACCCACAGAAACGCACTAAAAACATGTGAATATATGCGTGCCGATCCTTGGATTAAGCGAAGAGGCCGAGCAACAGGCCTGGAGCAGAGCGAGTCGTACATGCCATACATACCTATGTAGATATGTATGCACATATGTACATGTGTATGTAGCAGCAGCAGCAAACGGGATAAAAGGATAAAAGCCACAAGGGAAACGTGCGCCTACATATTTATGTATGTATGTACCTACATAATCTGACTGCCAGAGCAGGAGGATATCAGGCTGGAGAGTGAGCATTGCTTTTAATTCTCTTGTTCTTTGAATTTGAAATGAATTGGCATGGCCACTCCACTCCACTCCACTCCACTCGATTCCATTGCCAGGGACTGGACCCTCCTGGACCGCGTGCAAGCGGGATACCATACCGCCGCCGCTAACGCTGCCGTCGGCTGACATGAGAGCCATGCCACACACAGTGACAGAAAACAGAGACACAGGTAGGGCCAGGTAGCCGGATACCGCTTAGGCGGGGGCGGGGGCGTGGGCGTGTGCTCCACACGAAATTGATACGAGGCCACACCGAAGGTGTACAGGGGTGGGGCGTGCCGGGTGGGGGGGTGTGAGATAAAGAACAGGAGTGCGATGCGATGCGATGAGGTGGTGGTGGGGTTGCACAATGGACTTGAGACCAAAAACATTCCTAATTTGACACAGCGCTGATACTCTGACGAGTCCAAAAAATGCCATCCGCCATATGGTATGCGACTGTAAATATATATATATCTACGGATACCGATCCAATGACGGAGCTATAGCTCTAAAGGATGAAGAGGCTATACCAGGCTGGGACAAAATTTGACCAAAAAATTCGTTTTTTGTTTTTCCAAGGGGACACCCCCCAATTCTGTTCTTTGTTATTCAATAAAATTATACAATTTTTTTCAAATTTTTAGTTTAAAGTTTGGGGGTTGCTACCACGAAAAGAAAATACACTTTTTTGGTTATATACACATACATTAAAAAAAAATTTGAATTCGTCGGTTTTTTCAAATAATATTGAAACTTAGAAACTATTTCATATTGATAATAAGATATTTTTAATTTTTTTTTTAGTTACTGTTAAAAATTTAACGATTGGTGAAAATCAAGAAGTTCAGGTGAGGTTGATATATTTAGTTAACTTGTTCGCAAAAACTTGAGCAGGTTTTCTACTGCCAATAACTGATTAATGACGATATGAATGGTATCAATATACTTATGCAAAAGATTTCACCAATTATCCAACTCATTCAGCAAAATAATTTTGTTTGAATTTTCTTAATTAAAATTTTTTGTAAAATTCGGTAGCAACCTCTAAAAAATTAAAAAAAATAACAACATGAAAATTACTATTAAATCCAAGGTAACAAAACTAGGGGGTCCCGTTTAAATTTCGAAAAAAAAATTGTTTGGCCCAGCCTAGGCTATACATATCTGGGTGTACTTGGTATTACCTAATGTTCGATAAGATAACCGATAATTGTCGCATTCGTAAGCATGATCGATGATATCGCTATCGATGCCTTACCCCCTCCCATCCATTCGTAATCTAATTATCGCACTCTCTCTCCCTCTCTCGCTCTCTCTCCCTGTCCCCCACCACCCTCTCTTAGATGCCGCCCCACCCCAGCAGTCGGCACTCTTCCAGGGGGAATGCGGGTGCTGTAAGTCAGTGTCATATAAATTTTAATTATGTCACCATAAACTAAATGAAACGACGCAACGCAACGCCCCGCCGCGCCCCACGCGACCATGGAAATAAACCGCTAAAACAAAAAGAAACAGCAAAAGCGAAAATAAGCAAGAAACTCCAGCTTGGGCGTCGCTGGTTTAGGCACCCTGCAGATCCGATCCATCATTCCAGTGGCATCCGACTTAACCCCGATAACATTTAACCGATGAAAATATCAAATAAATGAATTTAAAACTGAAATATTAGGAAACAAAATAACTCCTAATCGATAATCGATATGGACTGGCGGATTCTGTACCTTTGGATTGGCTTTCCCTCCGCTCAAAATCATCATTGTGGTGCATACTCCCTTTGCAAGGGTATAGCAATTCTGCGTGCGTCTGCGTTTTGTGCGTCCGTCGCTGTTGTTGCTGCTCTCTTTGTCTCTTGTTTCACTTTGTCTGTTTTATTCGCTTTTTTTCGTACTATTTTGGTGTTTTGCTTTTCTGTGGTGTGCGCATAAAATTTGCATAAATTACACGCGACCCGACACTGACAAGTAAATTCGCTTTGCAAGCCACCCCACCCCTTCCACCACCATCCACACCCCGCACTCCGCAGTCCACCCCTTTAGCCAGACCAGCACACTCGCAGCGTCAGCGACAGCGACAGAGTTTTCTGTTTTGGGCCATTATGTTAATGGCTTTCAATTGAGGAACTCGTCAAAAATGAAAATTCTATCCATGAATAAATTTTATTTGTTTGGGAAAATTTTCAATTTAATTTGCGGCTCATGTGGGTGAGTGAGTGGTCGCATGCATGCGGATGGGGGGGCGGTGGAGGAGAGTCTGGATAAATGTTTAAGATTTTGTTACGGATCTTGGGCCATAGGAGCTGAAGCAAAAACCAAACAGCAAACAAAATACGAAAGAAAAGATTACTTCGAGGGTACAGCAAGAACCATTGAAGAGCTGCCATTGAAGACTGATCGCTCGAAAGGACTGTAGACAGATTGTTCAGTAATAATACGTAATGAAATATATAAAGCTCTAGTTACATAAATATGTAAATACATATATGTATGTATGTATAGCTTTTTAATGGAATTAAATTTTGCTGAATATCACTGAACTTTATTAAGCACCACCACACCAGACCATCGACTACCGTGACATACTCGTACCATTAAAGTAGTTGACAAAGGCCCGACGCAACCTTCCCAGTATGCTCAGACTGGCCGTTTCCATGCTCCCTTCCGCCTCCTCAGCAGCCTGCTGCTCCTCTGGGCGTGGCATGCGACCCATTCGCCACCGCAGCTGGAATTGGCTCACGACGAGCCGTTGGGCGAGCAGACGGCCCCTCTGGAGGTGCTCCGACGAGCCGAACCTCAGCTCGATGCCGTGCGGCAGCTGATGGATGGCGGTCAGATGGCAGAAGCGCATGAAGATGTACAGGATGCGGACGGCATCGGCGGAGTCAAAGCCGTACAGGCTGAGCCAGTAGTTGCGGCGTCGACGCCCGAACTGCACTGAATCGCGTGATCGCTCCACATCGTCATCCTCATCCTCATCCCCAGCCCGAGTTTGAGCTGTTTCCGCTTCGTCTTCTGTTCCGGCCAACTCTGCGCTTTCCATCGCCGCTCAACTGCCCTGCGCGTGCGCCTGCACCTGCGCTGCATGTGCCTGTGCGTGCTAGCTCGAGAAAAAGAGGATCTATCGACGCTAAATTTGATTGACGGAGTTCCTTTGGCTGCCTACGATTTGGAATTCTTATCGGAAATTACTAAAAAAAAAAAAACAAAAAACAAATGGTATCGTATCAATGCGAGAGGGACACGGAGAGTGATAGATGACAGCTGTTCAAACATCTGCCAAATAGATATGGAAGCTGATACTCGTACGCATCAGGGCCAGCCACATGCTACACTTCCTGCCCTGCCCTGCCCCCTTGCTACTGCTCGATAGACATTGGAATTGGGTCAAGCATTTTGGGGGCCATGTGCTTGTGGCTGCCCCAGCCGCAGCCGCAGCCACAGCCCCATCCCCAATACCCTTCCACTGTAAGTAGCCCTGATAGCCACTATCAGTAGGTTGGGTCTGCAGCCCTACATGGCCCCCACCCCCCCCAGTACAGCGTCGCATACATACATATGTATGTATGTATATAAGTGAAACGAATGCGCGCGCCCACTCGGAATATGTATGTATATTCGGAGTAATCATAATTGTTATGGCGGTTGTTATTGAACTCTAATCCGTATCGCCTCATTTTACGGATGGAATGCCCAAGAGTCTGTTCATAAATATTGCGGCCCTATTACTTGTCGTACAGTGAGTGCTGTTTGTTGTTTGATCGGCATGGGAAATCGCATCCGGGGGTTGGGGGGCCTGGAATTTTGAATTTGATTCGATTTGGTTAACAGTTTACAGTCGGCCCTCGCTTAACCTCATGTCAAGCGGATATATGGATTCGGTACAAAAGAAGGGGTTACGTTATAGCCGTGTAAGACCGATTTCGTACTAAAAGGGTTCGTGTTAAGCGAGGGCCAGCTGTACTTCCAAAAGTTTACACTGAGAACGCGTGAACTGAATTGTATGCAACGAGTCAGTACACAGCTACAGTGGCACCATTTAGCATGTGCACGCACTGCCATTCCCTATCAATTTCAAAAGAAAAGTGGGAGGGGTCTGAACGTAGCGGCGTCTAGTGCCATTTCGTACAACAAGATTCTATGGTTTGCAATAATTGAATCAGCTCCATGCATTTTCATTATTCTGAGTGCAGCTGTAGCTGGGGGAAAGTCCACAGAGTTGTGTGGCCCACTGTGGGCATGGTTATCTTCGGGACGCCCACACAGTCCTGCATTCCGCTACAAAGTTTTATCCGTTATTTTGCCTGCCTGCCCGTGCCTGCCCGTGCCTGCAGTCCTGCCATCGATCTGGTCCGCTCCCCTCTGCTCTGCACCCACTCTTTCCTGCTCTGCCCTCTCTATGCACTCTGTCACGTTTTGGCGACGGCTGTGCAAAATATTCTCCAATAATTATGTTGGCTCTGCGAAATTGGAGCAGAGGCAGCGACAAAAAGAGCGTGAGAGCGAGAGAGCGAGAGAGAAAGCGCACACCCTGATGGTTGGAAACTGTAAAAAAAAGGGCGCGCAGGCACGGAATCTGATCTGTCGGAATGCTCAATTAACTCGCTGAATTCTTGGGTCACAATAGCCACATAAAATTTCCAGCGAATTTTCAGTGGGTGCACTGAAAATTTATCGCTTTTGCCCGAGCTGTCAACCTGATGAGCGTCTACATGGCAGCCCAACAACTGGCCAAACAATGCGCAGTGGCTGCTGTCCACTCCACTCTGACTCTGACTCCCTGCTCCCCACTCCCCACTCCCCCCACCGACTCAGACTGCAGTCAAACATACGAGTACAAATACTCGTATGACTAAAACTGCAACTCGAACTCGAACTCCTGTCCTGTCCTGTCCTGTCCAGGCGAATGCTCGTTAAAAGTGCTCAAATTTGAATTTCAAATGCGTTTGTTGTTTGCTTGTTTCTACGAGTATACCCTTCCACGGAGAAGGTATGCTGATTTGGTGATCTTCGCACAAAATGCTTGCACTAAGCCATGAGTAGTAAGTACGATGTTGTGGGGAATCAATTCTAAGAAAGCTAAACAATGTGCACACACATTGGCAAATAGTCAAGTGTTTGTTTTAAAACCTAACCAAATGTGTCTTCAGGTTTTTACAAATCGAAAGACTTTTAGGCAGAGCCACCAGCTCAAAAGTAGATACATAAATACGAAAGATTTCCCAATGGCTTACGAATCGAAAGAGTATGCAAAGATTCAGGAGTGCAATTCAGTGGCTGCTGTGGACATTTTTGCAGCTCCTCAGGCAGAAGTCTGCCGGTTGTCAGCGGAAGTGTTGATGAATTTATTTGTCAAAATTGCTTTTGAAGCTGACTTAATACACGTACGAGTACTCAGGTAATGAATCCACCACCACCAAGCCTGTATGTACTCCTCCCCCACAAAGCCGGCGGCTCGTCACGGCGGGCCATGTCCGCATGTCCACGTGTCCCACATGTCCATGTCCGTTGATTGACATTTAAATGCGAGCTGTCAGTGCGGTCCCCTTATGGTATTCTCTATCAAAACGTACCCGCACACACACACACACACACAAGTGAGTATTGTTCTCAAAGGCAACAGAAATCTCCACGAAATCTCAATTGTTGTGCCTTAATTAATCACAGCTGCAGCTAATGGGTTAAACACACATATGTACGTACCTGCAAAGAGAGAAAAAAAACATTCAAAAACTCAATAATTATATTATTTTGATAGTGAAAACAGATGCATCGACTGACGGGGACAGACAGAGACAAAGAGGAAGCCAGCGCGGGGCTGACAAAGCATCTGCATTCATCACAAAAAGCAGAGATGAAAAAACAAAAAAATAAAAATAAAACACAACAAGGAAGAAAACGCCACAATCGATATTCCGACTATGCGATACCCGCTACTCAGATGCGACCTTCTTTAAAATAAATGAACGAGGAGGAGTATGCAAAGAGCACTCTCAAAATACTCGTATGACTGTAATAATTTTGATAAGAATTTTAAAGAAATATATGTACATGTGTTTTTATCAACCCTCTGGGATGCAAATTTTTCCACTTGGATATTTAATTTTACGATTTACAAATTAAATCTGCTCTTCAAGTGTAGGTTCGGCTATAAAATACCCTACTAAGCAGGGTATGGTGCGTGACAGGGTGAGGATCAGGTTCAGATACATTCTTCTACTGAAAATCAGTTGAGCCTTGTGCCCCATTAGTACAGGGTAAACAAAGAACAGTTGGCTGCCATTCAACTCGAATCGAACACGGTCAGGGCAGGCAGGCCGGCAGGCAGGCGGCAGGGAAATGAAAATGCAAATGCAAAGAATCGCGAAGAAGGAAGAGGAAGCTGCAGCAGCAGCAGCGGCAGCGGCAGCATCTCGTGATTGTACCTTGGATATCGTTTGAGGGCATCGGCAATGGCTTTGGCCAAAGTGCTGGCTGTTGTTGCAGAGAGACGCAGCAGAAGCTAATTTAAATTCAAATTTAAATTGTTTGCCGTCGCTTTTTTATTGACAACAACAACAGCAACAACAACAACAACAACGGGACGGGGACGTTCAAGAAGAAAGCAAGCAGACTACTGCCAGTGATGCGCAATAAGCTGTTTTCTAGCTGGAGTTTTGGCTATTCGGACTACGGATAATGTAAAAGCTCTGGATAAATGGAAGGAAAGGAAAGATGGATGGGCGGAGGTTAAAGTAAAGAGTGAGAGATCACAACAGACAGCGAATAGAAAGAGAAAAGAGAATGGATAACTTTTAAGCCGGAAGCTCGGAGTTCCTTGAAAAGTGCGAAGTTAAAGTGGATAAAAACCAAGGAGAACTGGATAAGAGAAGGGAATTAAAACGTAAGCGAAATGGTGGAATACATAATCAGAGAACAAGAAAGGCAATAAGAGAGAATAAAAAAGAGAAAGGAGAAAAATGAGAGCAGGGAAAGAATGAAGAATAGGAGAGACAACAACTCCATCTTCCATCAGCCTTAAACCATCGAATTGGCAGCGGCAGCACTGATCGAGGATCGCTGATCGAAGTTGCATGCCGCTGATGCACGCCTCGCGATTGGTGCACTACCTTTTCCCCTTGCTCCCTCCGCCCTCTTGCTGGCTGCCTGGTGCCATTGGAGGATTGGATTGGAGGATATATGGAAAATGGCTCTGAGCTTTGAGCTTTGCACCCACGCCACTCCACGGCACCGGGACTGGCTACCATGGGGAGCTGCTGCTGACCACGCAATCGATAACAGCGAATAAATATTATTTATTTATGTATTGTGTGCCATTGACGCCCCCGCCCTGGGATCCGGGCTGGAACTGGAGCTGGACCTGAGAACGTTCTTGGGGCCTGTCAATTAGGAGCGCACAAAACCCTTTTGACACGCGACTGGCCAGTAAGCGGCCGCTGGGGGATGGCATCTAGCCTTTATCGATACATCGACTGACGTGGGATTTATGGGCCAGTGATTTATGATCGCTCAATCTTCAAGTCTGGGAATTCCCCTATTCCCCACAGGTGGGGGCGGCTGTAGAAACCACAGTGGGATGGATGATAACATTATTTGTTTGCGTACTTTTAATGGATATTTCTATGGATTCCTGCGAATATGGATAGTTGATCGAACCTTCCATAGCATTTTTCTATCCCGTGATCCCGATCTCTTTGGGTTCATATAAATCATTAACTATCGTGTGCAGCTGCAGCCTGGATGGTACAGGTCCAAGTCCATTCCTATTGCCATACCTATACCTTTCCTTTCCTTTGCCAATTCCCTCCCCATTGGCGATCTTCGGTGGCCAGCGGAATCGTCATGCATTGCCATTTTTGGTATTTTCAGCCAATTAGCGGCGCAAAGGCTTAAAATGTTAAGTAAAAGCGAAACGGGCTAACGAAACGTGGCAAAGGAGCCCAGCGGAGCCAACTGGCCAAGCAACTTGCATTTTTAATGGTGGTGGTGGACTGTGGACTGGAAATCGCAGAGAGCGAGAGAATCGCAGAGTGGTGGCCAGGTAGCCAGGCAGCCAGGCAGCCCAGGAGTCCAAGGAATGAAGATGCTTAGCTGAATTTGTCTCTGCCGTATGGTGGGAGAGAGACAGAGAGAGAGAGAGGATAAACGAGAGCAGTGAGAAACTTCTGACGTCT